CTTTTTTGTTGAGAAAAAGGGTGGTGAGTTACGCCCTTGCATACACTACAGGGCACTTAATAAAATCACTGTAAAAAATGCATACCCTATCCCACTCATTTCCGAATTGTTCGATAGACTTCAGGGAGCTAAAGTATTTACTAAGCTTGACCTTAGGAGCGCTTACAACTTGGTTAGAATTAAAGAGAATCATGAGTGGAAGACGGCATTTAATACCCGTAGTGGACACTATGAATATCTGGTAATGCCATTTGGGTTATGCAACGCCCCGGCCGTATTCCAAGACTTTATAAATGATGTACTCAGGGAATTCATTTACTCATTTGTCTTGGTTTATTTGGACGATATTTTGGTGTATTCCCCTGATCTTCAAACTCACCACTCCCATGTGAAACAGGTTCTGCAGACGTTGTTGAAAAATAAACTTTATTGTAAATTAGAAAAGTGCATATTTGACCAGCCTGAAGTCCACTTTTTGGGTTACAACATCTCTGCATCGGGATTTCAAATGGATCCTAAAAAACTAGAGGCTGTACTACACTGGCCATTACCCTCTGGTTTAAAAGCCATTCAAAGGTTTATTGGTTTTGCCAACTATTACAGAAGATTCATCAAGGGATTTTCTTCTGTAATAGCCCCAATCACAAATATGACTCGCAAAGGGGTTAGTAGCACAGTATGGTCCAAAGAGGCTGTGAATGCTTTTGAGACTCTTAAACAAAGATTTGCCTCTGCGGACATACTAAAACATCCTGACACCAGTAAACCTTTTATATTGGAGGTTGATGCATCCGAGACAGGGGTAGGGGCTGTTCTCTCTCAGAGAGAAAGCCAGGGAACACCATTGTATCCTTGTGGCTACTTCTCCAGAAAGATGTCTCCTGCTGAGCGCAACTATGATATTGGCAATAGAGAACTGTTGGCCATTATTCTTGCCCTCAAGGAGTGGCGACATCTTTTGGAGGGTTCCAAGGACCCCCTGTTGATCATAACCGACCACAAAAATCTGGCATATATAGGGGATGCCAAACGTTTGTCTTCCAGACAGGCTAGATGGTCACTGTTCCTTTCACGTTTTAACTTTCTCATTACTTATAGACCTGGTTCTAAAAATACCAAGGCTGATGCCTTGTCCAGGCAATTTGATAATGAGTCAGCTCCGGAACAGATGACATCTCCTATTATTCCACCAGAGTGTATTATTGCTACTACTGTCCTCTCACTGTCTTCTCCACTGCTTGGCACCATACTGGAGGCCCAGCCTCAGGCGCCCAGTGGTAAACCGTGTGATAAACTGTTCGTTCCCCTATGTGAAAGGGTTAATATCATGAAAGTGTTCCATGACAATATAACTGCTGGACACCCGGGCATCAATAAGTCCACTGCCGCGATCACTAGATCATTTTGGTGGGATTCACTCAGGAAAGATGTAAAGGAGTATGTGCAGGCATGTTCTGTGTGTGCAGTTTCTAAGGTGACTCATGCACTTCCTTGTGGCCTGTTGCAGCCTCTTCCTGTTCCTGAGATGCCATGGTCTCACTTATCCATGGACTTTATTGTTGAGCTTCCTAGCTCTGCTGGGTTCACTACTATTCTCATGGTTGTAGACCGATTTTCTAAGATGGCTCACTTCATTCCTCTCAAGAAGTTGTCTTCTCAATCTTCGCAAGATTTGGTCCTAATTTTCATACGTGAAATTGTCCGTTTGCATGGCATCCCCCACAATATTGTGTCTGATAGGGGCTCTCAGTTTGTGTCCAGGTTCTGTAGGGCGTTCAGTAAACAATTGGGGATTGATCTCTCCTTCTCCTCCTCCTACCATCCACAGACCAATGGTACAGCTGAGAGGGCTAACCAGTCATTAGAAGTTTATTTGCGTTGTTTTATTAATAGCACACAGGACAATTGGTCCCAACTACTCCCGTGGGCCGAGTTCGCTAGAAACAATGCTGTTCATGACTCCTCTGGGCACAGTCCATTTTTTGTCAATAATGGTAGGCATCCTACGGTTCTCCCTGCGGTATTTTCTGATACTTCGTAGGATCAATCCAGTGTCTTACTCTCTGGCTCTTCCTGCATCTTTAGGGATTCCCAACACATTTCATGTGTCCTTACTCAAACCTTTTGTCTGCAATAGATATACTGTTCCTTGTGTTCCTCCCCCTCCGGTGGTGGTGGGTGGTCAGGATGAGTATGAGGTATCTTCTATCGTGGATTCTAGGTTTTCTCGGGGCACTTTACAGTACTTGGTTGTTTGGAAAGGTTACGGTCCTGCTGATCGTTCTTGGGTTTCGGCTCCTGACCTGCATGCGGGCCGTAAGATCCGCGCTTTTCACGCTAAATTTCCTCTCAAGCCTGGTCCTGTCCGCCCGGTGGGCGTTCTTCAGGTGGGGGGTAATGTCACGTATTCATCCGCTTATAGAAATGTGGTTAATGACATTTACTGTCCACACAGGAAAAGTTGTGCCGAGCAGCAACCTAATCCACAGAAGGGTTAATGCTGAGCAGTAATTGTGCAAATGAAACCTGGTGTCATGTATTCATCCGCTTATAGAAAAGTGATTAATGACATTTACTGTCCACACAGGAAAAGTTGTGCCGAGCAGCAACCTAATCCACAGAAGGGTTAATGCTGAGCAGCAATTATGCAAATGAAACCTGGTAACTGACTTTGGGGTCAAAGGCCGGTTACAGCCTATCAGAACTAAAGGAGGGGTATTTAGGCCCAGTTCTCAGCCTGGTCAGTGCCCTGTCGTGGTTTCCCTTGTGGTTGTCTGAGAGCGCATTCCTGTTTATAGTTTTCTACCTGGTTTTTGACTTTGGCTTTGTTTATTGACTTCTCTATATTCTGGTATCCTGACTCCTGGCTTTCCTCATCGCTGTGTCCCTTTCTGTGTTCCCTGACCTCGGCTAGTATTTTTGACTATTCTTTGTACGTTAAATCCGGCCATTCTAAGGACCGGTAATACGTTACTTATTTGTCATTCGTGCTGTACAGTTCTACGTGCTGGATCAAACAGTAATCACGACAGATGGGCGCCGTGTTCGGCCTTTGTAGAAGGACGTTGAAGATCTCCGTGTCCTGCACTGGGGAAGTCTGGTTCCATTCCTCGGGTAGGCCCCTGACTCTAACGTTTTGTCGTCTCCCCCGGTTTTCTAAATCCTCTATGTGGAGGGCCACTTGGCATAACTGTGTTTCTTGCCGTTTTATGGTGCTCGTTGTGGCGTTCTGCGCCGATGTCACGTGGTCGCAGTCTGCCTCTAGCTGAGCCAATTTATGATGGATCCCCTGCATGTCTTCCCTCAGGGCCTGGAGTTCCCCCGTGATGGACTTATGGAGGGCGGCATTAGCCTCCTTCAGGTCACTTTTAGTGGGTAAGTTTTTTATAAGTGATACCCAGTCCAGCTGGGGTACGGAGATGTCTGTTGGGTGTTGCACCTGATCGTGGTCGTGCTGTCTGTCTCTGGGTGAGGCCGGGCGGGTCAGGCCCGAGGCCTCTGGATCACCGGAGGCCTGAGAGGCATGGTCGGCCTGGGCTGTAAGGTACTGGCGCATACCAGACGTTTGAGACCCCCTCGGTGTGTTCGCAACCGCTACAGCCTACTGTGGCTTGTTCGTTTTGCCCATTTTGTTCACTGTTGGAGCTGTTTAGGCGGGTGTATGTGTTAAGCCTGCAGGGAGCTCGTGGTTCAAGCCACCATTCCCTCCGGCGCCCAAGCCACGCCCCATCCATTGGTGATTTTTAACTATTTTCATGGCATCCAACCTAAGTGAGAACTATTTTAATTGATAGCAAAACAATAATTAAATTATACCCGTTAGTAAATCATACAACATGCAAGCTGTTTTTCAGCAAATGTACGGTTTGATTCCAGGTGCACAGTTTGGATTGGGTCAGCAGTTTTACTTACAGGTGAGAAAGAATTAATTGGAAAAAAAAAAAAAGATGAACCAGAAACTGATCCCATGAAAAATGATGGCCCTGTCTGATAGAGATGAAACTAAGAACAAAGGCTATATGCAGAAAAATACAAAAGGAACAGTGAATAAATTAGAATCCATGACAGGCGCTTCAGGTGTAAATATGTAACGTATATTTTAATACTTACTAATCTCTGAAACATTTCATAAGAATACATCTAGACATTTTGAAAGTCTTCATATATACCTTCAACAGAATCCAGTGCCATCTTCTTCACTTTAAACAATCAGAGTTCTGGCTAACGTGTCAAGCTACAGATGTTGAGCGATTTGTATCAGGGAGGATTGTTCTATTGAGATAGTATTGGTCTTTGAAGGGAAGAAAGAACAAGTACCCAAACAGGCAAAAAAAATTATAATATTAAAATTAATCCAGAGAGAAAATAATGGTTGTGACAAGCATTGAGCAAGTGCTTGAGAACAAGATGTGAGACAATGTCTAGAATGAATTACCCAGCAATCTTTGTTATATTACGCCTCTGGGGCAGTAGCATAACCACACATGTGGTGTAGGTGGAAAAAGTATGTGAACCCTTGGATTTAATAACTGGTTGAACCTCCTTTGGCAGCAATAACTTCAACCAAACGTTTCCTGTAGTTGCAGATCAGACGTGCACAACGGTCAGGAGTAATTTTTGACCATTCCTCTTTACAGAACGGTTTTAGTTCAGCAATATTCTTGGTATGTCTGGTGTGAATCGCTTTCTTGAGGTCACGCCACAGCATCTCAATCGGGCTGAGGTCAGGACTCTGACTGGGCCACTTCAGAAGGCGTATTTTCTTCTGTTTAAGCCATTCGGTTGTTGATTTACTTCTATGCTTTGGGCCATTGTCCTGTTGCAACACCCATTTTCTGTTGAGCTTCAGCTGGTAGACAGATGGCCTTAAGTTCTCCTGCAAAATGTCTTGATAAACTTGGGAATTAATTTTTCCTTCGATGATAGCAATCCGTCCAGGCCCTGACGCAGCAAAGCAGCCCCAAACCATGATCCCCCCCACCACCATACTTAACAGTTGGGATGAGGTTTTGATGTTGATGTGCTGTGCCTTTTTTTCGCCACACATAGTGTTGTGTGTTTCTTCCAAACAACTCAACTTTGGTTTCACCTGTCCACAGAATATTTTGCCAGTACTGCTGTGGAACATCCAGGTGCTCTTGTGCAAACTGTAAACGTGCAGCAATGTTTTGTTTGGACAGCAGTGGCTTCCTCTGTGGTATCCTCCCATGAAATCCATTCTTGTTTAGTGTTTTACGTATTGTAGATTCGCTAACAGGGATGTTAGCATTTGCCAGTGACTTTTGTAAGTCTTTAGCTGACACTCTAGGATTCTTCTTCACCTCATTGAGCAGTCTGCGCTGTGCTCTTGCAGTCATCTTTACAGGACGGCCACTCCTAGGGAGAGTAGCAGAAGTGCTGAACTTTCTCCATTTATAGACAATTTGTCTTACTGTGGACTGATGAACAGCAAGGCTTTTGGAGATACTTTTATAACTCTTTCCAGCTTCATGCAAGTCAACAATTCTTAATCGTAGGTCTTCTGAGAGCCCTTTTGTGCGAGGCATCATTCACATCAGGCAATGCTTCTTGTGAAAAGCAAACCCAGAACTGGTGTGTGTTTTTTATAGGGCAGGGCAGCTGTAACCAACACCTCCAATCTCATTTCATTGATTGGACTCCAGTTGGCTGACATCTCACTCCAATTAGCTCTTGGAGATGTTATTAGTCTAGGGGTTCACATACTTTTTCCACCTGCACTGTGAATGTTTACATGGTGTGTTCAATAAAAACATAGCAACATTTCATTCTTTGTGTGTTATTAGTTTAAGCAGACTGTGATTGTCTATTGTGACTTAGATGATGATCAGATCACATTTTATGACCAATTTGTGCAGAAATCAATATCATTCCAAAGGTTCACATACTTTTTCTTGCAACTGTGTGTGTATATATATATATATATATATATAACCCAATGTCCTACTTGTTACAAAGTGATGATTTTTGTGTAGTCACAAAAAATACCAAGCACGATCTCAGAGAAACCTATAGTCAATACAAAGATTAATTAGAAAGATACTTCGTACCCCAGGTCATCTTAAGTTTAGTGTTGCTTGTGTAATCATTTGCTACAAAATAAACTATTAGTTTGTGCCTCAATCATTTCCGCCAGGGGTCCTCAAACTATGGCCCCCCCAGATGTTGCTGAACTACAACTCCCATGATTCTCTGGCTATCGATGTAATTCAAAGAATCATGGCAGTTGTAGTTCAGCAACATCTGGGGGGGCGGAGTTTGAGGACCCATGATTTCTGCTATTTTCTGCCAATCTCCAATCTGTTCAGGTAATGTTTTTATTTTATGGGTGCACACTTTTCTATGTTCCTTGACTACAGCTACAAAAATGCTGACAATATGACTGAATAAAGTCCAAATTTTCTGCCGTAGTGAAATAGCCTTCACCCTATATGGCTTATATGGGTATGACACACATTGTGCACAGAGTAAAGAGGAAATTTAGAGTGACAAATTCAGAGTATGAAACGGAGAACAGACGCACTAATGATCCTGAAATTGTGTGAGTGGATAGAGTCTTATAGTACCTCAAAAATGTATTGCCTTAACATAAAACATGGTAGGTATAAGGTTCTAGATGCATGTTTTGTAGTGCTTTTTAATGAGCACATTTGTTTACTATTTTATCATATAATCCAGTAAAATGTTATTTTGATTTACACTCTATATACATATTTGTATTCACGTAACTTTTTTGAGAGACATTTGCTCCAACATATTATAGTGCCAAAACCAAAACATTTTGCAAGAGACCCACTAAATATCTCTCTCTAGTGGCTGCGGGTTTCAATTGTATTACACTATTCTGTCTTATTCTTTTCCCCTACATGCACCCTTTTTATGTTTTTGTGAATTATGTTTTGTTCCTGGGAGCAGTGAAAACTTGGAAAGTGTAGATATCTTTGTATATTTCTTTTCGCAGAGTAAGGGAAGGCATATTAAAAAAGCAAAGCTGTGACTATGGTTGAATTAGAAGTGTAGTATCATGTTAAAGAATGAGTTTTAGACAGATATATCATTTATAAGTGGAAACACTCCCAAGTTCTAATAATAGATAATGATAATCTACAGAATTAATTTGTAAAATACACAAAACAAATGCATATATTCTATACAGAAAGCAAAAAGAAGGGCAAAATCATCATTCTATACCAGTGGTTCCCAAACCAGACCTCATGACCCAGCAACAGTCCAAGTTATCTCAGTTTCTCCACTGGAATAAAAAAGGGAAACACATAAATTATGGATTGTTGGTGGGCTATGAGGACTGGATTGGGGTATACTGCTCTATACTATAGCATGCTAATTAAAAACAACTCTGTAGAAAATCTAATTACTTTTAAATCTTGTTCATTCCCTTGTAAGAATTTACTTATTCAAAGCAAGTATTTCAATGAACGATGTTCTAGATGAGAGTGGTTCATGCACAGATTGTAGTTCCAGTAATTTTTATGAACATTGTACTTTCCAAAATTATATCCAAGAATTTTGACTAATTTATTTAAGTTAATGTGAATCCATTATGAGTGATATTGTATAATTCATGCATCAATTATGACCAACTTGTTTTATATTATAAGTCTAGTGTATTAGAATCATTACAGCAATCAAACTAATATCAGCAATGATAGCAGCCTCTCATGTTCGTATTTTGGTACTGTCCCAGCCAACTAGGATTTTAGTATCGCCAGGAAGGGGTTCACTATGCAGTGAGTTGCAGGCTGTAGACAGATTGATAAAAATTGAATATATTAACAATAGGTGTGGAATATGTGGCGCTGAGTAATTAATGTGAACAGTATATTTTAGCTGCTGTTTACACTCTACGGGTACTCCTAAAAGCCCACCATACAAAGATAAACACCAAAAGACGAAAAAGATTTCAGATCTAATGGATGTTACCACCCCTTAGGTCTTCTATCTTTATGAGTGCAGCGCTGTGTAGTATGTGAAAACACAGTGAATTACCTGTGATTCAAAGGCAATTATCCTTTATATTCTCCCATGTAATATATATACAAAAGAAAACAGAAATATATACAGATAATTGTGCAGTATATCTATTACTTTAGTGAAGTGTTTAGTGGGTAACATATATATCTCCACTCACATTTTTTAGAGCCTTTTCAAGTGAATTAGGCTCTAAACTTTCGCGCATCTGTGTCTTTAAGGGTAGATCACACGACCCCTCTCTCCAGGTTAAGTGTGTATTTTTTCTCTCCCCAGCGTATATATGAAAGACACAGAATTATCCAACTAAGTGTAGCATCCTCTGCAATATTTTCATATAAATAACAAATTGAAGTGCTCACCTTATTTAGAGCCTTTTGGTAACTAGGCCTATATACTTAGAGCCAGTTACCAAAAGGCTCTAAATAAGGTGAGCACTTCAATTTGTTATTTATATGAAAATATTGCAGAGGATGCTACACTTAGTTGGATAATTCTGTGTCTTTCATATATACGCTGGGGAGAGAAAAAATACACACTTAACCTGGAGAGAGGGGTCGTGTGATCTACCCTTAAAGACACAGATGCGCGAAAGTTTAGAGCCTAATTCACTTGAAAAGGCTCTAAAAAATGTGAGTGGAGATATATATGTTACCCACTAAACACTTCACTAAAGTAATAGATATACTGCACAATTATCTGTATATATTTCTGTTTTCTTTTGTATATATATTACATGGGAGAATATAAAGGATAATTGCCTTTGAATCACAGGTAATTCACTGTGTTTTCACATACTACACAGCGCTGCACTCATAAAGATTGATAAAAATAGCAAAAATAAAAAATACATTTCCAAAATAGTTATTTTCATGGCATAAATTTCTACTGTTTAGTGCAAAAACGAACCACCGATGCCGTTAAAGAAAGAATGAGTGACGGTTAAAGTACACAAATAAAACCGGAAAGCTGTTGAATATGTTATTGATAGAAATGCACTTTAAAAGAAATGATAACTGCCCCTTTAATGACTGTATTTACAGGTACCCAATAAATATCATGCTTATAAGATGGCAGTGCTAACAGCATGATAACATTTCCCTTTGGCTTCTTTTGTGCTTTAAGCGTAGTATGTTTTTAAAGACACTGGAAAAAATGAATAGCCGGTAGCTAGTTTTCAATCCCCTGGATAGACTCATTTCACCATTAACACGGAATATTTACTACACACACATTGCCATTTATTACACAGAAACACGATAAAAATAATGCAGGAGAAATGTGAAATGAATCATTGCAAACTAAAACATGCTGCTGATAGTGTGAGGCACAGGGAAGGAGCAAGATGTAGAAGAATATTTATTGAATGACTGTTTCACAGAAGGCACATAGTTTAAGACCTGAGAGATCTTTAGCTGTGATTAATGCACTTAAACCATTGGATCCAGATGCAAAAAAAATCACAGTCAGATCATGAACCTGCATAGTCACAAGCCAGCAGGTTACTCTGACACATGAAAATGTTCACTGTATTCGTTTTAGGGCTTTAGCCAATGTCTAAGGCAGCAATCAATAGTTGTTAAAAGATTACATGGCACAGCAGTCTTATTTACAACTTTCATGGTCAAATCAGTAGTGAGTAATTGGGCAAGGTAAAAGGAAATTCTGCTAATTAATTTAAGGTTAGCTTTATCGATGAATGCATCATGCTTGAACATAGACATCCTAACTATAAGGACATCAATTATGATAAAATGGAAAAACTGCAGACAAAGTAATTAAAATCTTGTATAAATTTAAAAGATAATTGTGGGCTCATATTTTACACTGTGTAATTAAGAAACTGGAGACTCTGACTCCCAACATATGTTCAGCCTGCAAGAGGTGTGAGAGTACCATAATCGCAGATCTCTGTTCCAAGTTGAGACCACCCCAAGGAAGACACTGCCAGTAGAGAGCAACGATTTACAGGAGTATGCAGACTGTTTATAAGCTAGACTTGAGAATGGTCACTACTTTCAACATCATCAGCTGATTACCTGATATGTAATTCCAAATAAGAATTAAATAAAAAATAAATAATGAGACATACTTTGCATAATCTGGACAAAACTGCTTGCCATGCATGAATTTCGTGTAGCTCTACAGTTATACTTGTCTTGGGCATTCTATTACCATTTTAAGTATGTGTACCTCACTGGTTTTGGTAATAATACTATTTTGACTATATATGAAGGGACAATTGTCACTGATG